GGATAGACATAGTGGCAGCATCAGTACGCTCAAATGTAACAATAATTGTAAGGATGGTGTAGAACCGGGCAGTGTTTCGCATTCTGTTGTGCATAGGATCACTATGAGTCAAAACGGACTCAATGACATTAACAAAAGATTAGTAAGGGACGACATTATAAACCAACTAGACTTAAAGACATATATACAACACTCCCCCCAACAACACATACTACACATTCTTCTCCAATGTACACAGATCATTGTTCAGATTAGAAGATCAACTAGGGCACAAAACAAGTCTCAACAAACTTAAAAGGTGGAGTTCAACCACAGTGGAATGAAGCTAGAAATCAACAAGGAAAATTGGAAATTTCACAAACAGGTGGAACTGAAACAAGGCACTCTTACTAACCAATGGGTCAATGAACAAATTACAGACCACAAAGGTGGGAAGAGGTGGCTTGGGATCACAGGTGAGAAACAGCATTTTAACTGCTAAATTTGTTGCTGACCAGCATGTAACCTTTGTGGGCACGAGCGTCCTCTGTAAAATTGCGATAAGCACCACAGATGCTCTGCACTGTCCAAAGCTGTTGTGGGAACCAAGGAGACAAGGGTCTGAGAGTTCTCAGAGGACATGGGACTCTTCTGCTCCTTCCCTTCCACTCCGTGCCTGTCCTCACAAGGTGTCTGACTTTCAGAAGTGGTCAAACCAAGACTGTTGTTGTGCGCCATTGAGTTGGTTTCAACTCACAGCAACCCTCTATACTTTTCAATGAGCAGCTGGTTTTGAACTGCTGACATTGTGGTTCAACCAACCTTTCAATCTAGGGCTTATCCTACAGCACCACACCAGAACTACAGATTGTTGCTACCTGAGGCCATCAAGTTGGTTCCGACACATAATGCCCTGTATAGGATTCCCAAGGAACAGCTGATGGATTTGAATCACTGATCTTGCAGTTCAAACTGACCTTACGGTCCAGTGTTTATCCTACAGTGCCACACCAGGACTCCTAGAACTCTAGATTAGGAATTGGGAAACATGAATGTGAATGTTCTTGTTGTTAAGTGCCATTGAGTTGGTTCTAACTCATACTGACCCTGTATAGGGTTTCTGAGCAGCTGGTGGATTTGAACTGAGAACCTTGTGGTTAGCAGCCCAGTGCTGATCCTACCTATATAACCATACCAAGAGTCCAAGAAAGTGAATGTTGGGGATGGGGATGGTGTGCCATGGAGTTGGTTCTGACTCACAGCGACCCTGTATAGGGTTTCCAAGGTTGTAAATCTTTGTTGTTGTTGTTGTTATATGCCATGGAGTCGGTTCTGGCTCATAGCGACCCTCTACAGGGTTTCCAAGGCTGTAAATCTTTACCAGAGCAGAAAGCTCATCTTTCTCCCATGGAACTGCTGGTAGTTTCAAACTGCTGACCTTGAGGTTAGCAGCCTGACTCATAACCACTACGCTACCAGAGCTCCGTATGAACATGAATAGGAACACTCAAATTAAACAAGTGATACCCAGATCACATGGCTTATTTTCAGTGTTCCTCACCTCCTTGCAGTCTGCCACAGGATCCTCTAATAGGTGTTAAGAATAAAGATGAAGTGGGAGGTTGAGCAATGTTCTGCTTCCCTTTTGTCATGGGACTTCCGGTGACTAAAGTATAATTGTTCCCTTTCCACTTTGTGCATGTGTGCCACTGTGCATGGGTGCTTTAAATGCATCCCTTGTAATGGGAAACCAGATGGCTCTTGACTGGGACCTGCCAGCTTCTAAAAACAAAGCCTCATGCTGCTACAAAGCCTCTTCGAATTATTAAGTCTTAGGAATAAAAGGAAATTAGTGTTGCCAATCCAAATTTCTCATTTTATGGATGGGATTGGGGTTCTCAAGAAGTTGGAAAGAATTTATACCAAGACAGAGAGAGAGAGAGATGGGTGGCCTTGCAAGAGAATGGACAGGATTTCTATGTACTCATCAAGATCACAGTAAAAACTAGATGCTGGGTACACAGCCTCTCACATGTGCACATTTAAAATGTATCCAGGCAAATCTCAACCTGGCAGGACTCTGTTTTCTTATATTCTCAGTGCCTGTGGAAGAGAACAGGCACTTAATCAATATTCATTGAAATAATGAGTAGATGATCCTTGGACCTTGGAGGTGGAGGGGTTGTTTCAAAGAATGAATCTGACACACTTTTGACCCTATGGCGGTGTGGCTGTAGGCGGGCACTCCAGAGGTGCAGAATCAGTGGAGTGCAGGCAGAGACGGAGGCTTCACTTAACTCCAGGAGTTAAGTCTTTCTCTGGGACGGTTCACTCTGGCTCAGGACCCAGGCAACTCCCTAGTGCCTATGCATGAACAGACACAGACCAAAACTCAGGCTAGAGATCCTGCCCCATTCCAGTCTAGAAGTCCCCTAACCTGCAGGAAGTGGGGGCCTGGTGTTTCTGGAGCATTGGCATTTCCCTTTTTGTGGCACAAGAGCAAACAAGTGAATGTGCTCACTGACTTCAGCTCATCTGAATTCTCCTTAAGAATCCTTGTCTAAGTCTCAGGAGCTAGTAGCCCAGGAAAAGAACACAGAGAATCGTGTGCTTTGAGAGCTGGGGTGCGGCCCAGCAAAGGCAGTAAGCATGGCATGGCTGCAATCACTAAGCCCCTCCCAATGCAGTGAAGATTTAATAGGGCTCTTCTAGCCATAGTCTTTGTAACTCTGACCAAATGACCGAGTGGGATTATGCAGATTGATTGTGTTTCCTCTTTGAATGATCCACTTAAGTAAGAAAAGTTGGGGAAAATTCTGATAGGATCCTATGATTCAGTTGTACATGATTGTTAACAGGGCTAACTGTGATTGTAAAAACTGGTAAATTTAACATGAAGATTGATCAATTTTGCCATCTTGCTGGGTATACTAGGAGTTACCTCAGAATCAGGAATGGGAATCGCATTATAATCAAAAAGAAGAGGCAGATCGATGGTGCAAGTATTGGTCTCTCCATGTGCAGAAGAAAGACGAGTGAGGAAATTCTGAAGGGGTTTGCAATCAACTAGCCCAATGCACCAATGAACATGTGAACATCAGTCAACACAATTCTGAGACCAGAACTTAGATGATGTCCTGCTATCACTACCAACTGCTCTGAAGTGGATCACATTAAAAGGTTCCAAATAGAGTGGGAGGAATTGTGGAGCAGGAAGCAGAATTATGTTTAAAAAAACCCCAACAAGACTCTTAATCCTCCTTCAGGTCTGGAATGGAACTCACCGTTGTGGCCCAATTTTCAGCCAAGCAGTAGATAGGAAAATTGGAGGGACAACAACATTACTAAGGTCTGCTCACCATGGAATTGTCCACCGTTCAAGACCAAAAGGACAAAGTTGAGAAGAGATGGGAAGGAGGGGTGACAGGAAATAAGAACCACAGGAAGTGGATACTGTTCCATGGAGAGGATTTCAACCACTGAGATAAAACACACTGTATGGTTTGTTGAATGTAAAACGGATGATCTTCTCTCTCAACTTTCATTCAGTTCTCAATAGAAAGTTTTCTGAAAAAGAAGAAAGATGAGGCAAGAATGGAGTGTGTCCTTTGGCCCTTGAGATTCCTGCACATTGAACCTCCTTCCTCTCTCCAGGGACAGAAAACTGTGATACAGAGAAGCTTTAGTAAAGGAGTAGCACAGTAGCAGCAGCAACTGAAGCAAGAGCCAGAGCATGAGACAAAGGTGGGCTTTCCAGACCTGGGAATGAGTCCCACTAAGTGCCTTCAGACAGGAGCTCACTTGTGCAGTGGGAGATACCTCCAGGCACTGAAGCTGGGGAGCTCCGCTTGGCTACCCAAGGAGCTAGAGCTGTGCACAGTTGGGCTGAGGCTTACAGCATAGTGAGGTGCCCTTTGGGCATCGATTGGAAGTCCTCAAAGAGCTTTGTAACACTGCCTGAGCAGAGCGGAATTCAGGCCAAGGGACCAAGGGCCAGACACAAGCCTGTCATTAGGCACACCTGGGAAGAGGCTGTCCTAATCAAAGAATTGCATCCTGGACATTTCTGATGCTGCACTGTAATCTGTTAACTTCCCTAATAGATTCCGTAACTGTGAATATGTCCTGTGAATTCTGTGTGGCCACTGCAATGGATCACTGAGCCCAGCAAAGAAGTGGAGAGTGCCAAGGAGGGAGGGTTAGTGTAAAGAAGACTGGAGGGTGGAGGCGTGTCTGACCTCAGCAACTGACTCATAGGAATCGGCTTTGAGTTGATTTTGAACTTGATTGTCCTTCCTCCTGGTAAAATAAGAAGTCAGACACTGCCCCCTTTCTTACACCCCACCTTGACATGCCAAAGGTAGGAGAAGGTGCCACTGAGCAGCACGGCCGGAGATGCCACCCCGATCCCCATCTCTCTCCTTGGTCGTACACTGCACCTAGCTCCTCCTGGGAAACAGCGCTCTGTGGCAGATCTTCACCACTCTTCTAAAATTGCACTGTTTGCTTGGAGCAGGGAAAACTGGCAAGCAGGTAGCAATGATACTCAAAGCTCATGGACTTGGGACCTACTCCTGACAAAGGCTCCACTTAACCAGTTAGCCACAGATAGGCTGCACGAAGCAGTACCCTCAGGACTGCGAGTTGGAGAGGAAATCTGGAAAGTGAGGTGGATTTTGGAACAACCACATTGCGGTACTCTCAAAAAGGCCGAAATCTTCACTATGATTTACTGCTTTGTGTAAGCCCTCTGGCTGAAAGACAATGGCTCCAGATAGATGATGTGGCCAGGCATCAGCCTTGGCCAAGTGTTTACAGCTACTATTAACCCGAAGGCTTGTGGGGAGAAAGCAAGGAGGGGACAGTGACAGCCAGAGCAGTCTCTCTGGGCCCTGGGAGAACGGGCTACAGCATACTCAGAGCCTCAGCTGGACCATCAGGAGAGCCTATTGCACAGTGAGACCTTCCATGGTCAAGGTCCTTGACCGTTCCTACCCACCCACCGCCTGGCCCAGGCTCACCTGAATGATGAAGCCCGTGGACGAGCACTGCCGGACCCAGAGGCTAAATTTCCGCTTTTTCCTCTTCCTCAGTTCCCTCTCTGTGCATGTGGCAATGAACACTGGGTCTTCGTCGATCAGGGGTTCATGTAGCACCTGCCGGGAGGTTGGAAGAAAAGCCAAAGGTTTTCGAGGATGGTATTTGTGACCTCCAATCTCCAGCCTCTGCCTTTTACTGTGAGACCTTGGCTATGTTATGTGACCTCTCTGAGCCTAAGTTTCCTCCTCTGTAGCACGTAACATCCATATCTACATTAGCATTTTGAGGAGGAATAAAAGAGTCCTGGTGTGGCACTGCAGGATAATGCACTGGACTTCAAGGTATGTTCGAACAGCAAGGTTGGTATTTCAAACTCACCAGCTGCTCCTTGGAAACCCTTTACAGAGTGGCTATGAGTCGGAACTGACTTAACACCACCACCAACAGTGAAATGGAATGCAGAGCACCTCACGTGGGCCCAGACATATAGCTACTATTCAAGAAATGGCCCCCACGTCAAACTCACTTGATGGAGGACTCTCTGGCCCAGTGGTGAGCCATCCATCCCTTTTTCAAAGCACTCCCTTCCCCTGATTGACAGTGTCAATTGCTAAAATATTCTTTCCCTCATGGACTCAATAGTTACCCACTTTTAACTTAAACCTATTGATCTGATGTCTGCTCCAGTGAGAAACAAAGAACAAGTACATGTGTCGAATTTCTTAAGGTATTAAAGACATCTCCCATGTAGGTATTTGCTATTTTTTTTAATCAGGACAAACATCCCTCTTCTAAAAAAAAAAAATCATTCCCCAGGTCTTATTGCAATTACACAACCTTTTGGCTATTAACCAGGTTGTCAATGTCCATTCTTGTCGATAACAAGGTTATATGGTTTTTTTCAGTAAGAAGACGATAAAATAAAAATGAAACAGCTTAACAAAAACTAGAGTCCAAAGGCATGTCAAAGTGTTGTTTCTTCAAGCTCAGGTTATAGGAGACTTTGCAGAACATTTTAGGAACCTGCTGCACATGCTTCTCCAACCCTATTATAGATTGATTTATAAATTAGCTTGTATGTTTGTTGTTGTTGTCAAGTGTCATCGAGTCAGGTCCAACCCATAGTGATCCTGTATTAGCGTTTCTGAGGAGTGGCTGCTGAGCTTGAACCACTGACCTTGAAGTTCAAAGTGACAACACAATCCAGTGCATTAACCCGTAGCATCGTATGTGTGTAGTTCGTTGAAATACAAAGTGTAGAAAACAACATGATTCCAAGAATTCTACACAATGCTCTATATATCAAGAGTTGGCTAATCCAGCCCGCCATCTGATTTGTAAATAAAGTTTTATTTGGACACAGCCATGCTCGCTCATTTACATTCTGTCTGTGGCTACTTATGCACTGTTGCTATTGTTACTGTTAAGTACCTTTGAGTTGGTTCGGACTCATAGCAACCCTCTATAGGGTTTCCAAGGAGCTGCTAGTGGATTTGAACCATACGCCTTTTGGTTAGCAGTCCAGAGCTTATCCTATAGCACCACATCAGCACTACAATGGCACACTTGATGAAAGTTTCAAAAGGGAGACCATATAACCTACAAAGTCTCAGCTAGTTACTATTTGGTAGTGGTTATGATTTGGGCTGCTAACCTAAGGTCAGAAGTTCAAAACTACCAGTGGTTCCTCAGGAGAAAGATGAGGCTTTCTGCTCCCGTAAAGATTTACAGCCTCGGCAGTCTAACTGACTTACCACAAGACCAAGCAAGTTGCTAGCCCAGAAGCCACCAAGACAAGCGGTCAGGTCCCCTCAGGACAAATCCCCTTCCAAGACTAAGACTCAAGTGGAATACACGAGCAGGCATATGGTCTGGCTGGTGAGATAGAGGGAAGTGGGGGGAGAAACAGCAATGAAGTGGTGAGCTAAGCCCTACAACCTTCAATAGACTCCTGTGAACCCGGGTGAAGACCTGGTTGGCCAGCAGTATGGCAAGACCTGGGGACTCCTAGGCCCAGAGTCAGTGACATAGCCACAGAGGACTAGAGTGGAGAGTGAAGCGTCCAGCTGATATGAAGTGAGGGGAGCTGCACAAGAACACCCACACTTGCAGATAGTACCCATTTGACCTGCCTTCAAAGGCTAGATGATCAGAACTCGACTAGAAGAAGAAAGAAGAGAGAAAAAAGAGTAATCTGATATAATTTGATGAACCTGACTATACTTATGGACGTAGTAGCTCAAAAGAGGGAACTAATCTTTAAAGCGAGGATCATTCCCACCCCCCCTCCATACACAGAGTAGACAGGGATGGGCAACTTAGAGATTGACTACCCAAAATGTGGGGGCTACAAAGGCAAGAAGTGACTGGCTTACAAGCTTTCAAGAGGGAGTCCAGTTCCAGAGGGCGTGGGAGAAGATAGAACCTCCACTGAGTGAAAACACGCCACTGAGTTTCCAATCTGTATGGACGGGGCTAATGAATGCAGATGTGGATAGGTCTCTTGTGATACAATAAGTGAATAATTGTTATCAGGACTGACAGTGAGGGTTGGAAATGTAAAGGTAAATGTTTTATCGCAAAAGGAGGGGAGTGGTTGACTTTAGAGTCCAGGAGCAGAGGTCTCTGAGACCATCAGGGGAGAAGAGCAGAG